CCTATTTTCTGCATTGCATGTTATTTCTTTGTGCTTCAAAATTGAAACCACGTGCAGCCTTCTCCCCTCCACACGCACAATAAATGCTCTGCCCCCTCCCCCAACCAGTCGCCCAACTATTTACATCTTGGTTACTCACTCTGCGCTCCAGCCCTGGGTGAAGAAATTGGCCCCTTGGGACTAGGTGAGGTTTTTGTAAAAGCATCACTCAAATTCGTATCTCGGGTCTCCATCTCCGGAGAAGGCCCCTGCATTCCCCTAATCGGCCTTCCCCATCCCCCTTCCCTGTACAGGTGGTTATGGCTTACACTGGGAGAGGCTAGCAGTGGGGCATGGGGAGAAAGAATGCTCTCTGCAGGGTTGGGCCGGGCCCATCCGCTGGCCATCCCAGGCTGGCCAGTCGGGTCGCTTGGTGCTGCCTGGTCCGCTCGCTTAGGACGCAGCGGGTCCTGCACAGAGGCCAGAAGCTCCCCCTGGAGCCTTCCAGCCCCAGGTCCTCCAAGGCAAAGAAGTCCCACCATAAATAAATAAACTCCAAAGGGGGAGGGGGAACTGGAAAATGGATTCGCTGACAAGGAGAGATAATAAATGAGAGGCGCTTTCAGATAGATATCTCAGACGTGAAATTGCGCCCAGCTGGTTGTGTAAGCAAACAAATAGTTTCATGTTAGGAACTCTCAACTTGTGGCTTGATGAATAGAACACGACAGAGGTAAATGGGTCTTTAACTCATTTAGGAATACAACTCTTTGGCTTCCCAAGTAAAAGGCCCAATGACGCCACAGATCCTGAGCAGGCCGTTTAACAAGAGTTTTATTAGTTCCCACTTTGTCCCCCTTCACTGCCTCCCCACGCTCCTCGTGGTCTCCCATTCCCCGTGGGGCTCAGGTGATTTGTTCTGAGGAATCACAGAGTTTACAGGAGCTGAATCTGCCACTGGGGGGAAATAGAGTACCCACAAGTGGAGGAGGAAGAGAAGATTTTAACAGTAAACTTTGCACATTCCAAGCAGAACTCAGGTGGTTTGGGATCCAGGAACACCGAGCTCAGAGCTGGGCCGCCAGGAGCTGCTGCGGTCAGACATGGTGAGCTTGGACCAATGGCAGGGACCAGCATCCCCATCCCCATCCCCGAGCCTAGGCCTGGAACCAGGGTGAGCTGTGCGTGTGAGAGGCAAAGGTCATTTTTTTTTTCCAGGTGTCAGGCCTCGTCCTGCCACCTCCCACCCCTGTGGGAGGCCTCTGCAGCTCCCATCCCTCCAGCAATTCCAGGAGAGAATGTCCTTCGGAAGATGATTTTTTCTGATGTTTGCAATACAGCTTCTGGCTAAAGTAGTTTAACTGACTTCAAAGTCCCTAAACTTCTCAGTTGCCCAGCAAGTGTTTGGGCTAGAAAAGGGAACGTTTGACTTTTATGTGTCACAGGTAATTTTGAGAGGGAGTCACCTTGTGTGTGCCGATCTCCAATTGCTAAAATGTCTATCACGAGGCCCAAGGGATCTCCTGGGTTCTAACCCGCTCAGTTAGTCCAGCCCTTCGCTCACTCCAGACGCCTCAGAGCAAAGGCAGCCTGGCCCGCGGGGCAAGACACGGCTGCGCGCCCCAGCAACCGCCAGGCCTCCATCTCTCTGCGTCCTCGCACCCGGGTTGCACGGCTCCCCCTGGCGCCTGGATCAAAGGCCCGCTCCCCGCGCAGGGGCCTCTGGGCCACCACCCAGGCAAGAGCGTCTTTCACCTGTTCCACCTCGCCTCCTACCCCGGTTCTGGGCCTAGGCATCTTTCGGAAGCTCCTGAACCCTGAGCCCCAGCAATCAGCCCTTACTGGGCCTCTCCTCCGGCCTGTTTGGCCTCGGAGTGTAGCCACTGGTCAGCTAGGCCTGGGGCGGGGGTGAGTGGTGGTCTGCAGATTGCCAGAACAGATTGGACACTTTGCTGTTGTGGGAAGCGAATCCGCTATGAAGAAGTGGCAGAAGCGGCAGCCTCTGCTCCTACACGCTCCTTGCGATCCACAGGAAGAGACTTGGCTCCTGGAGTGTCAAGGGCGGCGAGGGCGCTCTCGCCTCATCCCACCCAGCGAGGGCGCCACATGGCCCAGGGTCCCTGCAAGGCTCTGTCTGAGACCCAGAGAGACCTCCAGCTGGGGGAAAGACGACGTTCTTTGTGTGTGTAATGTAGGAGCAACCCTCTCAGACCCCCGAGGAGACGGCAGAAAGGAGAAACACACTGCCTAGGCCCTGCAGACCTGCCTTCCGAGCAAGCGGAACACCCCATTTCTCGGGTCCCTCAGCCTAGGGCTTCCTGGCTTCTAGGGCTTTCTGGCTTCTAGACTGAATCGGCTACCAAGTTTATGAGGTCATAGGCCTCCTCTTTCGATCCAAGCTGTGTTGGCCCGCTCCAGACTTGGGCCCAGGTTCAAAAAGGTCTCCGGGATTCCCCAAGCTGTGAGTCACAGCCCAGGACCATTGAGCAAGAGTCAAGTTGTCACTGTCATCTCCTGGTTGGGGATCAAGTGCAGCGAACGTCTCTCCAGGGACCCTTGGCCTCCAGACTATTCTCTACACTGGTAGTCCTGTTCTTGGGCCTCCATATTGAAATTAATTGAAAAATACGTTTCCGACCTATGAAAATGTTTATCTGTTTTCATCAGAGGGATCACACTGTAATGAATATATTTACATCTCATTTCAAGAAAGGCAAGAGAGATCAGATCAGTGGGAGCTTGGAGGCAGTTTGGCCGCCCCTGTGCTGTGGCAGCCAACTCCAACCCTGTCTCCACACTTTGAGACCAGGCTGCTAGGTGCCATCTCTGAGTTTTCCTGAGATGCGGTCAGCGGTTAAATAGGAACTCTCCCATTCCCTCCTGCAGGGGAGTCAACCCCAGGCCAAGAAGTTGACGCTGAGCATAGAGCAGAGGGTGTGGCCCAGGGAAGAGTGGGTGGGGCAGGCATGCGGAAAGGAAGAGCCTAGAGGCCTTGAACTCTACTATCTAGTCCAGACACCCTAGAGCTCAGGCTCAACCCCTGTCAGACCACTGAGACAGGGGATGGGACTTCGCCACTTGGCAGGGCCACAGTGCCCAAGAGGCGCTGCACCCAGAATATACAAAGCCTCAAGTGGATTGAAATGTAAGACCATGCTAATATGTATTTTTTTAGGGAATAAAAAAAAAATAACATAGGGACTGGTAGACAGCAAAGTAAAAGCAAAATATTGCTAGTGAGTTCTGAAAGTGAAGCTTTTACCTCATCCTGCCTGGCCTTTGTGGGGTTGGGGAGAGGGAGAAGTGAGAGGTGTTATTTTAAAAGATCCCGTTTTATTAATACGTTAAGAAAGAGCTCCCCTGGCAGTATGTTTTTCTCCAAGATCAGCTCGGATCCTATAAAACATTCATGCTTCGAAAGCTGTTACACAGAGCTGCCCCCCACGCGCCTCAAGCCGGAGACCTCAGCGGAGGGTAGGCTTCTGCCTTCAAGAGGTCACTGCGACCCAAATTTCACTTCGGAGAGGAATCTGTTCTCATTCAGCTCCTTGACTCTAAGGTTTCCTCTATACCCCTTACTGCCCTGCAAGAGGACAGGGTTTACACACCCACCGATCTTGAGGGTGCTCCCAGAAATCTAAGAGAAGGACACATTACAGACAGCTCCCCATGACCATCAGCAAAATCAGGCTCAAAGCTCAGAGTGAGAGGCATCCTATTGAGGTTTCCAAGGGTGCCAGCAAAGCAAAACTCTGAGATACCCTTCTGTTGCTCTCCCCAAGTCCCCCAGGTCTGCTACACTGTGCTTCTCCTTAGCCTCCCCTGCCAGAAGAGTCCCCTCCTGCAGTTAGGCCCCAGCCTGAGTGCTGCCTCTGTTACTAAGAAGGTGGTGCCCTTGGGCTTGGTACTGACACTCAGCTCCCCTCAGGGACCTGACCTGGGCTCAGCTGCTCTCGAGGCCACCTAGAGCTCACAAGGTCACAAGGGCTGCTGTCCTGATGTCTAGGCTCTCTGGCTTCTCTTCTGATACCAGTGCACTCCTTTCTGTCCCCATAGAGCCTAGTGCTATGCATTTGCAAAACCAAGACTTGATTTTAGTAAATGAATCCCAGACACCTTGACTAGGGTCCATAAAAGTTAGCTCAGTCCTCCCCACCCACTCCCCCCAAATTAATTTCTGATAGTAATTAAGGTGGAAATTAATTGAGGGCTTCTCTTGCACTGTGACACCTGCCAAGCAACCAGACACGTGGTTTTTGCTAAATTCTTTTATTTTTGTTTAAATTTTCACTTCAATTTTAATTCTTGAAGAACAGCCTCGACAACATATATCGCACTCATTATAAGAAGCAAAGGGTTATATCAAAAATTATTAGTATAGAATCACAGGAAATCTGGTTTGGAACCAGAAAAAAATACAAAACAGATATAGATACATAGACACAGGACAATTCTTTTATAATTATTTGGAAAATGTTATTTTCCCCTAATTCTTGTTTCCTTTTCTCCGTTATGCGCATACGATGTTTAAATTTTACAAAAAAATGAAAATAAAGGCTAATATTTTACAAAATGAATAACAATGTTCAGGGTGGGGGGGGGTGTGTGTGTTTCTACATAGGATTCTGTCCACTTCCACGTGTGTGGTTTTTCTGTACAGAATATATCCACATCCGTCCACAATAAATCCTGGAAGGTCCAATAGTCTCCTTCTGTTTTATTAAAATTCTCATGGTCCTCTCTTCCAATTTTTTTTTCCTTTATCTCACCAAACACAAGCTCTTTTTTTCTTTCCTTTCCAACGTGCTCACAGATCTGATCCTAAGAGTCTCTTTTTCTCCTGGTTTGGAGCTCGGGTTGCATTTCTGCAGGGTGGGCTATTCCTGTCCTGGCCCTCCTCCCACCCTGCCAGGCCGCACCCATGTTGACTCGGGCGTCCCCCGTGGCTTTGCAGTCTTTGGCCCCCCGGCTGGTCCTCTGAGTCTCAAGGGGGGCTGGGGCAGGTGGGAAGCGCCCGAGGTCTAGGAGCACTGGATGGACATGTAAGGCCAGTTGAAGCTGCTCCCGGACAGTAACATATCGCGGATGAGAGTTTCGATGGGGGTTTTACCTACCAAACGGACGAAGAAGAGCTGCTCGATGACAGAGGAGGACACCGTGCGCAGCGAGGGCAATCGCAGCAGCAGTTTGCCGAAGCGGCTCGGCTGGTTGGGATACTGGCTCCTCACGTACTCCTCCAGGGCACACTGTGACTTCTCCTGCAGGCTCTCGATGTGGGCGGCGTCCGACAGGCCACAGGCGTCTGCCCCAGGCGGCCACGCGAGGGAGAGATGGGGGGAGGCACATGGTTAGGTCGGCGATCAGAAGAGGCCAAACAAGAAGTCACCACGACAAGTAAATCAATGAACGGAGAAGGAAATAAAAGGAAGAGATGGAAAGACATACTCTTTCTCTCTGTATAAGCTTTCTCCCTAGCCCCTTCATAGCTATTTCCTTCCCTGAACCCCTAAGACAAATAAAAATAAATCAAACCCCCACCACGCCTAGGGGAGCTGGAGAGAGAAGCAGACACAGGCAGAGGCAGCAACCTCTCTAGTCCCTTTGTTTTTCCTCTTTCACCTTTGGATTGAATAATGTGAGATGCTGGGCCCATGTTTGCTGTGTGTAGCAACCTGTCCTCAGCCTGCAGGGGAGCATCTTCCTGGCTGTGCTTATTAAAGGGGGAACTTTTGCCCCCTTTGCCCCTGATTTCTGGGTGTTCAGGAGCCCTAGAGAAACATGCAGTCTGCAGGCAACTAACAGCTTCTTGGAATCTCCTCTCAAGCCCAAATGACTGCAACTGAAGACCTCCAGGAGAACTTAGATTGTGCAGTGAACAAACCCTGGGAGGGGGTAAGGAACCCTGGGCTGGCAGTACTCTGAATCAGATGAAGTCCATGTTTTAGCAATACAGGATTGGAGATCCACTATCTATGCAAGCAAAGACTCTGTGGCAAATCCTCAGCGAGGGTGTATACTTCTATCTGTGCCTCAGATCAAGTAATTGAAAATTGGTCACATCTCTGTAAGCTGTACAATAAGCAAGAGGAGCAGGGCTCAGTTACTCCAGGCTGGAGCAAGGAGGCATCTTCAGTAACAGACACAAAGCTGGGCTAGAGGCAGCTGCTGCTGCTGCTGCTTCAGCATTGGGGTGGGGGTGGAGGGTAGGCAAGGGATGTAGGAATAAAGGGAGGCCACTTTCCTGTGGCAGAACCAAGGGAAGAAAAGGCACCCCCACTCAGGGAATGGTATCTCGAAAAAGGTATTTATCTCACACCAATCAAGGCCATTCATGGTCCTCTAAAGATATTTCAAGGCAGCATATTACTCTTGCAACTAACTAGTGCTGTCGAGCTAAGTCTGACTCATAGCCACCCTATGAAGAACGGATCTGAACCTGTCCTACCCTGGGCCATCCTCACACTCTCTGACACACTTGAGCCCATTGCTGCAGTCACTAGAGGCAGGCAAATGAAGGGGATGATAGAATCAGAGAAATGGAAAGAAGTCTTCCTCTCCTGGTTCAAATGCCCATGTTGTTTCTCGTATTAATAATAAATATTTAAAAACAGGAGGATCACAGAGGAGCCCTTAGCCAGTCAGGAGGTTGACTAGAGATCAAAGGCAGAGTTTGCTAATATATAGATCTGGGGAGAGATTCATGCATGGTAATGCCCCCAAAAGGACACTGTATAATTGTGAATGGGCAAGTATGACCCGAAGAAGACACAACAAATGATTCAAAGGGAAACCTGTGTGTGCAGACTTTCTGAGCTTTATGTCTTTATATTTCAAAAACTGGGATTTACAAAGCATTCTGACACCTTCATCTACAAGGCTATGCCCTCAAGCAAAAATATAAATAAAACCAGCGATAATTCAAGAACTTCTGAGGGAAATCCCCTTTGACCCCAGATCCAGACTGGGTTCTTCTCAGATGTCTAATTACTCCAGCCGGCCACTGGGGCACATCCATTCTGACCTGTTAGATATGGTTTCCTGGCAAGCCGGAGCAGGACAGGATATTCCACCGAAGTTTTACTGCTTACAGAGAGGACCCCTAGGTCTACTTTGCTGCTAATCTGTCCTAATGAATGTCCACCATGCAGACTCAATATCTCTATCTATTCACATACCTAGTACTTACCTACCTTGCTTTACATGCATTATCTTCCCTTTATAACACAATATCCCTTTTAGTCCTAGAAAATGCAATAAGAAAAGTACACACAAGACGGATATGGCATTCCCTTCAGGTGGGTAAAATAGTTATCTGACATTTACAGTTTGGACTACTCCACTCCTAGCTAGGCTACTGTAAAGGAGGGGAGCCCAGAAAATACACAGTTAAGCCCTGGGCTGGCCACTTCCATTTTCTTTCCTCCTTTGGAGGAGGTTATGTCCATAGGTGGCTCTCGCTGCCAGATGTCAGCTGGCCAGGCCTGTGACTTTCCTCAGTAGGAGCTTGTTCTATCCTCACTTCCCACCAGAGAGGTTCCTTTATTTTCTCCCACTTCAACAAAATGCCCCTTCTTTGGAAGATGGGATGGTCTCTCAGATCAGTTGAGGGGTGTGTGATGGCCAAGCTGGGTAGTAGGGAACGGTGGCCCGAGCTACATATTTACACTCTATGAGTTAGATTCCAGAGAAGAAAAGGTGACTGAATGTGCCAAATCCATGTCCCACTTTTTATTATACAGTGGTGTCAATGCAAGAACTTTCCATATTTCTTCTGCAGTGTATGGAAAAGAAATTATGTAAATAAATAACCATTATTGCTCAAGCACTCCCGGCTTAGCCTTTGTAGTGTGGAGAATGTATTTCATGTTGTGCATTCAGAAGAGTTTAGTGTTCAGGAAATATAGATGTAATCAGCTGCCATAACTAGAAATCAAAGTTATTATTGCACTGAAAATGGATTTATTGTATTTATGTTAACTAGATGGCTTTCAGGGAAGGTCTCATTTATTTGAAGGAATATTTAGGTGTATGAATTAATGAATTTTTTTAAAAAATAAGTTCAGGTCATGACCTAGTCCTTGGATGCAGTCCAGAATATGAAGGATTAAACATGCCATCCGGAGGCCAAATGTGAAAACCACCACGGGGGACCCGTGCCAGTTTCAAATACTTAGCCAGAGCAAACCACGTTGGACAATATGTCTAAAACTGTCTTTTCCATCATTCAAAGTTTGCTTAAAAGTTGGATGACTTTGAGAAGGCTTCCCATGAATTCCCTTCTGGCTAGCAATCAAAACAAGTTTAGTCAAAAGTGGAAATGTGTTGTATAGAGGAGAGGGGTGAATTACTACTGACAGCTCTATTTCCATTTTCAGATATTCTGCTTGCAATTTTCCAACAAAATAATGTTATTGTTCACTTCTAGACACCCCTAGCACCCTGATGACTTGGTTCAAGCAAGTTCTTTGGGAAAACTTTTATTTTTAAAGGAACACTTTTCACAGGGGAGTTTTAGAATGGAAAGTTGAAAGAAAAGCATTAATAATTCCACAATCTTCTCTGGAGCCTACACAGTCCTTGCTTCTCTCTGGGAAAGGGCATGAGATCAGAAAAGTCAAGGGGGTTCAAAGAACCTCAGGGGGGACAAGGAAGAGGGAGGGGAGATTTTTTCTTGAGAAGACCTCTGTCCAGCTCCAACTCACATTTCTGCTTTAAGACTCCTCGCTGGATGAGACTGAAAAACCCCCAGCCTCCCTGACACTGGCCTGCTTCCTGATGAATTTGGCTAAAGAGCCGGGTAGTAGAGAATGAGCCAGGCCCCAGCCTGCCAGAGAGCTAAAGCAGTCTGGTCGCTGCTTCCCAGGCTCTTTGTCACTTTTGAAAAACACGTTTCCATCAAGAAGACTTATTAAGATAAAATGCATTCAAACACCGAGGAGGCTATTCAATAAATCTTCCATTTGTTTTAAGGTTTGCACTTTATCCTCTTGCAAAGAATAACTCCCTCTCCCACTAGCAGACCTGCATTTGCACTGAAAGTAAAAGGGGGGCAGTCCAAGTCCATGGCTCTGGCCACCCTGCATACAAATGAGATGCTCCTGTCTAAATAAATTATCTGCTGCTCAGATCGATATTAATACTACATTTGCTACATTACAATATTGTGCAAATTTAAGAGTCATTTTAATACAATGTAAATACGATTCTTCACGCATGAAAGCCAAGAAGTATTGATAGATTATACCTCTGCTTACTGCTCAACAAGGCCTTCGGAAAGGGGTTTTGCCATCTTTACTCAAGAATGGTTTTAATTTGGCCTTTGGAGGGCCTGGCTGTAGGATAGATTTATTAGGATGGTTTATTTGTTCACCAAGTGGAGGAATTAAAAACAATAGTGCCAATAATGGTGGTAAAACGGCAGCTACCACTATTGGCAATGGGCAGGGCCCAGGACCGAATCTGAGCAGCTCTGCTCCTCACCAGCAGCAGCCTTTCTGGCTTTGTTTATATTTCCCCCCATTACCTGCTGTCCTGGGTGTTTATATGTTTCCCCCTTGCAGGTTACAATAATAAAAGGCGGCCAGTGTTTTCAGAGGCTCAGACCAGAGCCCTTCAAAGGCAACGTTAATGCACTTTCCTGGAAGTTAATTTGAACCATCTATCATAAGAGAAATTGTTAACATGCATGTTACCACCGCCTACACTTAATTTGATATTTTTAAGGCAATCTGTTAAATTTCCAATATTGGGGGGGGGGTTTTGCATAGCCATGAGATTTATCAGGAATCCTCTCATACTTGCGGGCCCTACAGAATTGCTTTTGTTTTTATCTTTCTTGTTTTAGATCGAATCCGTTTTTTACGACTCTCAATAACCTCAGCAACTGCAAACATGAATGGTTTCCGATAAGGGAAAATCAAGCAGCAGTAAAGCGGGATTATTTATGATTTATTTGTGCGGATCCTTCTCATTCCACCTCTCTGTGTGTCGGAGAAACTCACCCAGGGAGCGTGCCACACAGAGGAGCGAGCCACATTCCCACCTTCTCTGGCTTCTCTCTCCTCCCCCAGATACGCTGAGCTCTGGCTTACACACGCGCACCGCACACACACCGCACACGCGCGCAGCCAGACAGATTAGAGTCACAGCACCGCCTCCCACAGACACAGACACGCACCCGCCGCCGCTGTGCGGCCCCGCGCCGGGGGCCAAGCCGCGAGGCCCTGCCACCCGCTGTCCGCGCCCGCACCGCCCGCCTAGGCTCCCGCACGGCCGCGCTGCTCCCTAACATGGCAGGGCCATGAGTAGCTGCATCTCCGCGCCGGAGGCCCCAGGGCTCTGACCCGGCGGGGTCGTTTGGCCTGATGAGCGCCGTGCTGGGCGGCGCGCTGCGCTAGGAAGCGGGAGGCCCAGGCGCGTGGTGCGGGGCCTGCGCTCGCTGCAGGCGCGGCCTGCCCTCCCCGCGACCGCAGCCTCACCTGACGTGAACAGCACGATGGCTTTGAGGCAGCTGTACTCGGCCGAGTCGACGTGCAGTGCCTTGAGCTTCTCCACCTGCTCCTGGAAGATGCGGATGTGGTCCATGAAGGCCACGACGCGGTCTGCGGACATGGGCGAGGCGTGCAGGCCGGCGGCGGCCAGCAGCGGCGCCACGTGCAGCGGCATGGAGCACTGGGCCGCGTTGAGCACGAACAGCTCGCTCCAGGTGAGGCGCAGCAGGGACACCTGGTCGGTGATCTGCAGATCCGGGAAGAAGGGAATGTTGCGGGCCCACTCGACGGCGCTGAAGAGCAGGCGCGCGGCCAGCTCGCAGATGTTCTCGATGCCCATGATGTTGTTGGGCTGCATGCACTGGCTGCCGTAGCGCGACGTGGGGTAGGGCTCGGCGCGCAGCAGCAGCGAGATGTAGCCCGACAGGTAGCAGTGGCCGTTGAGGGGGTCCCCGTTGGTGAGCGCGTACTGGCCTGGGTTGGGCTGGGTTGGAGGCATTCTTCCTCGCTGAACCGCTGACAAAAAGAAAGAGAGAAAAGAGGCAATGTGCATCCAGAGGGCTTGCGAACATCGCTGCGCAGCAGCGCACCCAACACAAAGCGGAGGCTCTCCACTCAGCCACACGTGCCCCGTGTCCCTTCTCTCACGCTTGTTTTCATTCACAGCCCACATCGTGAGTGGAGCTGGGGCAAGGCCCTCCAGTTCCACGGGCCCCCTGTGCCCAGCCATCTCCTGCGCCCTTGGCCACCCCAACCCTGCCTGAGCCAGGCCTGACTTCAAGGCCCCCAGCCGAGCATGGTCAGCCGAGCACCTAATGCCAAGAAAATGCCAACCAGTCCGCCACCAAAGAAGATCACACAGAAAAATGAAACCCTACTCATCCCTGCAGACTGAAACAAACCAGGATTTAAAAATCTATATTCACAGGCGAAACCAGAGAAAGATTGTGGTTCTGGGGAAATGTCTAGCGGCCTCCTAATTCCTAATCATGCAGCGTTTTGCTCATAAAAGGTTTCCATATATTATTTTTTAAAAATGCTATAAGGTTATCCTCAAAATAGACACAAGTTACAAACCCATCTAACCACTCAACTTTTGAGTAGATAACTACCCTGCACCCCTCCCCTCTTCCCTTCTAGTCGCCCCACACAAAGTTTTCACTGCTAAAAGTAACAGAAAATGGGTTATTGTCAAGAAAAGAAGTTGAACTTACAGTAGCCAAACATTATTGGAAAAAAGTAGGAAATAGAATTAATTTCTGTCCTGCGTCGTGGCACTGCAACCTGCAGCCAGCTTTTGCCCAGTGAATGCACGAGCTTGCAACTGCAAAAACACTGGATTCATTAACCATCTGAATGCAAAACGTAAGCATGCTTTGAGTTCTTAAAGCTGACCAAAGTTTTTTTTTTTTTAAATGTGTATGTTTTACTTCAACACTGCCAGCGTTTTAAATTGCCATGTAAACAAAGGCAACTTTAGGAAAAGTTAGGGCTACTGAACTCTTCCTCTAACAAATTAATATAGATATGTCCATGCACACATAACTCTTATTTCAGTTTGTACACTATTTTCCTAAGTTTGCTTTGATTCCAATGTTAATGCAAGTCCCAGTGCAATTTAAGCTCTTGAAACATAATGGCTAGAATACTTTTTTCCTAATTATAGTTTTGAACTTGGCAGTTATTTTTCAATTAAATGAGAGCACAATTCAAAGTTGTCTCCCCCCACCCCTCCAGATGCCTACAAAATCTCCCTGGAGCTAGAAATGAACTAGTCATATTTGCCTCCTCCTTGAGACCTGAGAGAATTAAATTTCTTTGCTTGTGGCATATAAAATATAATTTTAAAGTCAATTATAAGAAGGAGTAATCTGCATTCTACAAAATTGACTTGCCTGCTAATTTGACTATAAGACAGCTTTAAGCGTTGTTGGGAGATAAACTTTAACTGTACACAGCTAAATATATTTATAAGAAAGTATTGTCTCTCTTGACACATGAACATGAAACATATCTAAATCAAAAGTGGTGGGTTGTTGTGGTTTTTTTTTTAAATAAAAAAATCCAAAACAAACAACAAACCCATACAGCCCAGGGATTAAATGATGTGCAAGTACATGCCAGCTGCAGTCTATGCATTATAACCAAATCAGAAGGATTGGTAAATGCGTAGTAAATTGTAATTTGTATGCAGTATTTAAGCAGAGGGTGGAGTTTGATGAAGAAATAAAAGGAGTATCATGCTTTTAAAAAAATGACACAACTATGAAAGAACGGCTCAGTCACAAACTTTCCTTTCAAAGTCGAGGGGTGAAAACAAGGCCACAGCTCCAGAGGAGGCGGCCCCGGCTCCGGGGAGAAGAGAAGGAACCAGTGAACGGGCGAGAAGCCCCCCTTCCCCCCTAATTAGACCTACAAGTGCAATAAATCTCACTCCTTTTTTACCCAAGCTAAGCTTCCAAAAGGATGGTGGCAGCAATGAATCTACGGTTCAGGGTCTTCCAGTCCTCAGCCCTCTCCCATTTTAAATAAAGACCATGAAGAGGTGGATGGGAAAGTGGAATGGAAACAAAACAAAACAAAACAAAACAAAACAAAAAACACAAAAACCAAAAAACCACAAACCCCACAGAAACAGTTTTCTGGGGAAATAATCAACCCCCGCCCCAAGTTCATGCTTGCACAGCCCCAAGCATCCTCACACACACACCCGGGAAAGAGACACGAAAGAGACACTGAGCACATCCAAGACAGAGGGAAGAAGGGGATTTTAAGCCATAGCTCACGATCCCAGGGACACAATCCCGAGCAGGCAGCGGGCGGGGTTGGGGAGCCGGGAAGAGGAGCGCAGGCCGGGAGGGGGAGGCAGCGGCAGCGAGCTGGGGAGGGGGGGTTAAGACGCAGGGGGAGGAAAGCAGCGCGGACAGGGGAAGGTGGGACGGGCTGGGACCGCTGGAGCCCCAGCCCCACACTGCAGCCACCCCCGCGAGGAGAAAGAAAGAGGGCCAGGGAGCCGGGCGAAGCGCGGGGAGAGTAGCAGAGAAGAAATATTCACCTTCCCGCCTCATGCCCACTTTGAGGCACTTCTTGAGGCGGCAGTATTGGCACTGGTTGCGGTGGTGCTGGTCGATGGGACAGTTCCTGTTGGCACGGCATGTGTAAGTTAAGTTCCTGCGGACGCTCCTCTTGAAGAAACTTTTGCAACCCTCGCAGGTGAATTGGCCGTAGTGCTTGCCGCTCGATTTGTCCCCGCACACCACGCACTCGATGTGCTGCTGGCTCTGGCCCGAGCCGGGCAGGCCCTGGCCCTTGTCCCCCGCCGTGCCGGGGGTGGCGGGCGCTCCGGGCTGGCCCGGGGTCTGCGGCGTGTGCGGCGCACCCGA